TTTACATGTTTTACATAAAACAAAAGTTGTAATCTGTGTCTACGCAAAGCCACAAGAAAACACATCTGGTTTACAAAGAGATGTTAACAGAATCTGTTCTAGATGTGAAAGGTAAATTTTCTAAAGTTAGGAGATTAATCATTTAAGAAAGGTGAGCTCAGCACAAAATGTTTCTCAGTTGATGCCACAAGGAAATCAAACTAATTCTCTCAAAAAGTACAAACATTTACACATAGATTCCATAGCAAGCACCATGACATGGCAAGAGGAACATTCTTTAAGGTCTGAACATTGTATGAAAACTTTTGAGCTCCAGCAAGCAGAATGGAAGTACTCGAGAACAGAATTACAGAATAAAATAATCATTTAGGTTAGCAAAGACCTTTAAGATCATTGAGTCTAATTGTAAACACTTCCAAGTCCCACTACACAATGTCCCTAAGTACCACTTAATTTCAGATCCAGGCTAAATTTCTGTGTTGGGCAATGTTTCAAATACTAGATGAAGGTCTGGATGAAAGCCATCTATCACCATTTCTGATGATCAGGAAATTGTTTTACCTAATTTTGGCAAGCTGAAAAAAACCCACAACCCCATCAGAATCCACTTAATGAATGGATTTTTCAGATCCCTTAAAGTACCTTGAAAATCAGACATTTTTGACAACAAGAAATGTTACAAAGCACACTCATGCCAATTGAAAAATGATTCAGCAACTGATCTTGTAATGCCTCTTGAATTCATCATTAACTCTAGAAAAATTTGCTTTGGGAATAATACAAAACAGCACACCAGAAGTGTCCCAAACAGACCATCAGGCCAACATTAAATGTTCAATATATTTCAACAGTGTTATCTCTGTAGTCTACCTACTGATAACATGGAGTAATTACCACAATTTATGTTTTAGTGTATTAAGGGATGAGTAAGAATATAAAACTGAAAATGACCACATTCTCATTAATTTCTTTGTCAGCTCACCACCTGCTTATCTTTAAATTTCCACATTACTCATTATATACTGTTATTCATTCTCTTCTTCTTTTAATTTCCTTTAATTTTATTTTTCTCTTTTCTTTTTTTCTCACCTCTATTTTTTTTGCTTCTCAGTATTTCTATAAAGCTTCTCACCATTCTCCCTTTCTCAATTCCAAAAACTCCTACCAACTTCTCAGTGTTATTCTGCCACTAAAGCCACTGATCTTTGTATTGGTTTTCATATTTACATATTCACCACAATCATAATCAAGTTCAATTCTGATGGTGACATCCTATATTTAAAATTCTGAATTTTCATCTGAAGCTCTGGGGTTGTCTACAAGGTCCATCTAGAGCGAAAGAGCCAGATAACAGCAGCTGTTAAAAAAGAAACATGAATGTAAACTGTGTGTGAGGATAGGATACACAAATCTCTGTGAAGGGGTGTTTTCACAAAAATCCTTACATTGAAGAGAAAAATAAGTGTCAGCCGCACTAAACATTATGAATCATAAAGAGATAAAAAATATATATTAAAAAAAATATAGATGAAGTACAGAAATTTGAAGCAGCAGGAAGAGGCCTTGGAGTGGAAACAGCAGCACTCAAAATCTGGTTTGGCACTCACAGAAGTTACCCTGCAGTCATCACACACCTGCATCAGTGCAGGCTTGTGGGGCAGCTCAGAGGCTCCTGAGGCAGCAGTGGGCACGCTGGCACTGACAAAACCCTGTCTCCATTGCCAGATGTGTGGAGGTAAAGAAATGAGACTTTTCAGACTTAACTTGCATATGCCATGCCTCATCTTCCGACTTGTTTCCTTTCCTATCTCCTTTCCCACTTATAATCACCAGCTATTTCTGCAGCCTTTCCCAAGACCCACATCTCTTCCTCTCCCACTACCAGCATCATGTCCCTTCAAAGCCAGTAAGGCTTGACGGCTCTTTCATTTCTAACTACGAAATTATCTTCACTTTCAGCACCAACTATGCACCTGGATTTCCTTCTCCTTGCCTCTCTGAACTTCCATCCATAGCCATTCCCCTGAGTTACTCTAACCTTCTGATTAAATTACTAATATTTTTGTCTTTTTCTGAATCTATTATCGAAGTGTTCTAACAGTCTCTAATCTGTACAGGCCTTAGTAGAAAAGGGTTTCTATCTGGACTGAGACTACTAAATGATAACATAATACAAAATATAGTAATAGATTTACTATATTTACTATTTACAATGTTGTATTTACTCTTATTATAGCAAGCATAATTTTCAAGGTTCATTAATTAAACATTTCAGAAATCAACATTTCCATATTATCCGGTAATAAACAGAATATTGGTTTGTATTGTTCTTTACTGTTCTCTCCTCATTTGGAAAACACTTTTAAATGACATATCCAATAGGTTCTTAAGGGCAAGAAAAATATTATAAACAGAGAATGCACTGAAACACTAAGTCTATGAAAAGAAAAAAGAAATCTTTTAAATGTCATGTCTTCCTGACATACTCTGTTTTAATTCTCTTATTTAGTGAAGATAATTTCCTAGCAGACTAATAAAGACTGCTTAATGAGGCTCTCAGCACTATGTCCAGCACACATGATTCTGCTCCACAGGTGAATGAGGATTTCTTTTGCTTTGAATGCATTTATGTACCCGTGGGTAATTGGGAACCCAGGGAGCCATCCTAGTCTGGTTTTTAAACCTACAGTTACAAGATCCCTGTGATCTTCCCAGGATTATGATAGAAAACATTCAGCCTCTAGTTTGACAGAAACAGCTTTTTTTAAAATTGTATAAAGGAAGTTCACTTCCCCTCTTCACTGCTGTGCCTCACTAACTCAGCCTCCCCTCCCTCCTCCACTAATTTCCATCCCAGATACAGAGGCAGGAGTCGTGTCTTCATCCCTGACCCCAGGGAGGTGTTTAGCCTGTGAAGCCTTCTCACCACCACAGTAACAAATTGAGACGAATTAAAAATCTGCCTCTACAACACATAAAACCTGCCTTTTACTTAAACATGCACAACAGGGCATAGTGCCTTGGCTAACACCTATCCAGACTACAGTTTTCATCAGGGGCTCTCTTCCATAGATAGAAAACCTTCTTACCTGAGACAGGACAGGTGCCATGTACTCTGTGGGAACTGCAGAAATGGATGCTTTGGGAAAGCAGAATTGGGTACTCTTACCAGGTGATTTAAACCTATGACTTTCCAGAAAAGGATAATGCAAGTGAGGAGTGGAAATGAAAACTGAAGGCTAAAAGGTCTGTGAAATAGGAGTGGCTCTAACCTTTTGCTACAGCTCCTTTTCCTACCAGCATGAAAATATTAATCACTGTGACTTTCTGTAGTGGCCCAGTACTATTTCACCATACCTGTTTACAGTGTATCTTCTCCACTCATGGGCCTTGTCCCAAGAAAGTGAAAAACACAGGATAACAGAGTTATTTTAAGTTTTTTAGGTCTGACTAAACAGATTTTTGAGACAAAAGTACAAAAACTTTCCTCACCAAGGAAGAAAATTCATTCAGCCTCAGATTTCAATAGAATTACTTTTTTACACCAACCTCTTTCTGATTGGAATGTATAAGTCAGCTCTTCTAAGGTACTGCCATTTAAAATAAAATATTGACAGTTTAAATCAACACAACTATGTAGTATTTTGGGGCATTTACCCATCAGTGTAGCCATTAAAGCTACACAGGAAGAAATAGAAGGGAGCACATAAGCAGAAAATACACCATCACCTGCAGGATGGCCATGGCTATGCACTAAGTGCTTGTCTGCAAAGCTGCAGTAAAGTTCTTCATTAGGGCAAGGGGCAAACAAGAAACAGACTATGATTTCAGGGTCTTCTTATGGCATTGTGTTATTATATTCCAGCCTTAGAGCATGAAGTAAAGGACAACTGCATCTTCTCTTCCCTGCCCACCTTCCCCCTACTCAAGAGGAATAAACTGTCATTCACTAAATTAATATGCTACATTAATTTACAATTAAGCTATCACCAGGAACAATTATGTATAAGGCCTATGCACTGTAATTTCAGTGCACAATCTGATATTAACCTCTCAAAATTCCCTATGTGTGTTTATTCCCTACACACAGTAAAACAATAATAATTTAGAACCACTTGAAGGCTGCAAAAATAAAGGGAGAATATGTACTTTTTTTAAATAAACTTCTAAGCAGCTAAAGTCTACAACTTTCTATGCTGCCCTCAGGTACTTGTTTACTAAATTGCTTCTTCTCCATATATTATTCTGATTTGGTACCTTTCTACAGACACAAACTGAAAAGATGCCAACAGCGGCTATACCCATGCAAAACACAAATGTGCCTGTTCAGTACATACCATATTGACACCAGAGCATAAAGAGAGCAAGACAAAACTCACAAATTGGAAAAAAATCTGTTACCACAGTATAAAGATGTATCTCTTGTACTTGATAAAACTCCTGAATATTTCAAGCATTCAGGAAAGGAAAATTATTTTTAAAAAGGAAAGGAGAAGCCAAGTTAAGGTATTACACTGATGGTTATTTTCTGTTAGAAATGACACATTGGTATATTTTTTCAAGAAGAAAAGAGTCTCTGGCAAAAACTTTAAATATATGGAAGTTGCAGAATATTTTATTATTAGTCACTCAATTTATAATGAAAACTCAAAAGTTTTTTATATGGATTGCTCTTACTCCAAGAGTTACAGCAGTATAAACATTTTCTGGAAATCAGGTGTCTGTAAACAATATTCTGTACAGTATATAATTACTTGTGTGCTCTATGGTGGTGTAGAAATTGTGCTGGAATAATTTCTTCCAGTTAATTAAAGTAGGCAACAGCATTTAGTATTTAGAACCAATCTTAGCATAAAATAAAATAATGTATCAGCTCCACAAATTCTGAAGGACTAGAGACCAAAGAACTGGACTGGGGCATTTCCTAGTAAAGGAGAATTCAAAGTTACAGAGAGATCCGGTCTAGTTAATTGCAGTTAGTACAACATTCATAAACGTAAATGACCGAAGGTCCTGATCAACAGCAACAGTATGAGGAGCTCTTCTCATATGCAGACACCACAGAGAAAGTGACACCAGAGCTCCCTGAGGAGCAGGAAAACTGGTGGGTTTCACCCTTGTTCTTTCTCTGGCTTTCAGCATCATGAGCCCCTCTTTTCCTGTTCTTCTTGCTCAGATGGAAAACCCTTGATCCAATATTGCATGAAACCACAGAAAATGTGCAGAACAAAAGAGAAAATGTGCAGAACAAATTTTGAGCCTAACACATTTATACTTTTTAAAAACACTAAGAGACTTAAATCAAAGACATTTCACAGCAAGGACAAATTCTTTGTTATTATCCATCTGTCATTGATCTGGAAATCTCAAAGCCCATCAGTTTCTTGAAATATTTCCAGGCTTTTGTGAACCCTACCAAGGCAAAGACCCCCCAAAGAACAACTTGTCTTGTGACACTCTGATCCTTTTGCTTCCATTTACAGACAAGACCAGGAAGTCCTAAGTCATACAACCCAACCCATTCCCTAAAGACAGAAACAGAGTGCAGAAAAACGCTAGCTTCAGTTTAAGTTTTGATTAATGACTGTGTATATTCATATTTTAACAGAATTCATAGAAATTTGAGAGCTAGAACACCTATTATGTCATCTAATCTATGCAGTTGACAGAGAAGGATTTGTTCCCTAAAGCATATTTCATATGGCTTTATTCAGTCCAATTTTAGATGTAGGAGCCATGAGGCTTCCATTGCTTTCTTTGAGAAAGCTGATTTGTTTATTGTTTGAATTAATTTCACCATATCCAGTCACAGCAAATATGCTCAAGATGCTGTTCTTAATAAAAATATGGAATGTCCTCAGTAATTTATGTTAGCATTAAAACAGGCAGTGAATATCCAAGCACCTTCTGTTAAAATATATCGTTGCACGTAGCAGATTCTTCCTTTGATATTAAATTATGCAGGAATCTCTAAGTATTTGGCAATCTTTTCTGATGCAATTAAAAAATTTTATCCTAATTGATGTGCTTTAATACTCTAGGAATCAGTTCAATGTGATTTGTAAGCTTGGCTTTTTTTTGCACAGTTATATTTCCAAATTAATTTAGTTATTTCCAAGCACAGCTGGGTAGCAAGTAGCAAACATTACACTTAGTTCCTGCTATTTTTATATTTTTATTTCTTCATGAATTCAGAACTTGCAAAAAATTAATAAATGAGTCAGAAATATCTTCTTGTCATTGAGTTTCCCATCTTGACACATATACCTATCCCGCTCTTATATAGAGTATTGGTAATATCAAAAGGATTATTTCAAATAAATACTTTAATTTTTACATTACTGGAAAAGCAACAAGTAAAAGTACAGATCCACTGTAAATGCAACTTTGCTAAGTAGGAAGATAGTTATAGGTACTTACTGAGTTCTAACAACTTCCAAGGAAGATATATATTTTTAAGAGTAACCATAATAAGTGTTAGCTGTCATCAAAACACTGGTAAATATATATCAAACTTGGGATTTTTTTTTCTCTTCTTTTCAAGGAAAAAATTGAATAGACTGCTGATTCAGTTACCTTAATGTAAGATTTGTACCCAGTAAAACCATTTTGCCTATATGAATGAAAAAAAAAAAAGCAAACCCAAAAAAACCACAGGATTCAAAGGACTGAGGCTAAATCTTTACAATTCATGCATGAGAACATTTTTTCACCAGAGAAATATTTTCCAAACTTGTAAGGAAAATGAACATGCATTAAAAAACTAGGTCTTTAACATAGGATAGCATCTGTATTTACTGTACACCATACAATCTTTATGACATACGGAGATTGTCCTTCTGTTCGAGCTGCCTAAAATACTATGCTGGTCTCGACCCTGGAAACATTTCTTAAGCATTTACTGTAGTATTAGAGAGATCTTTTGCCAGAAGAGTCACTGCAGAGCCATGGACTCTTTGGGGGCTTTCCATATTAGGGGTTTTCTCACTCTGGATTAAGCATGCCAACAGTATTGAGTTGCCGTGCTGTATTTAGAACTGATTTGAAGGAATGGATTTTGGTAAGAAATGTTGAAACTTCTTGTATTTCATTGACTTAAGTCCACTCCCACAAGACAATTTGGGGAAACATCTGTTAAGAAAGCTGTTGCAAACTATCCAGTACTCCACCAGCTACAGCAGGTTTCTATAGCACGTTACCAAAAGTCAGAAAATACGCATTTATTCACTCACAATTCTAATGGCCCTAAAAGACTGTGAAGAATGTGCATTTTGAATTTTTTTTTTAATTACAGCTTATAGGATAATTATCACATATCCTTGGAAATAGTTACTGATATTTAAACAAATATATTCAGTTAGACTATTAAATTAAAAGATATCACTTGAGGAAAATATCAGATGTCTCTTAATTGTCAGTCAAAAGCTTTCTGAGGAGGAACCTTTTAGCTCCTCTTTACTGAAGTGCAAAAAGTTTAATTTAATTTACAATATAAATTGAATAGAAAATACACACAGGAGATTCAAATTTAAGGTTAACAGTTATGTCATTTCACTTTCATAGTAACCTTTTAGTGTCCAGATTCTCCTTCTGCCCTGCAACTGTAATAGTACTGAAAGATTTCTCCACATCTAAGGTTAGTAGGACATAACCCTGGCACACCTACCTGTCTGAACTTACTCTGGAGCTACAATGTCAACTGTTACTGTACTCCCATCATATATGACATCAGTAGTGGTGATCCAATACATAACAATCCTGCATTTGCTCCACAATCTCTATTCCTATATTTATTTGTCATATCAACACTGTTTACAATATCCTACTGATATCAGCCAATAAGAGTCGAGTTTTTGTTAACATTGTCACCAGCCACAAACAGAAGTGTGAGCTATTGCAGGTTCATTTAATCTTCCAGCATCCTTATTCATAGCAGTTTGAGAAATATTATTTCCCACTCAAGGTTACTTGGCCTGAAGCTAGGCCTTTACAAAAGAAAGGAGTCCCGTGTGGTAGAAAGCACGAGTAAACTAGATCTAATCCCGATCTGTAAAGAAATTCTACAATTGACTCTAAAATATAAAATAATCAGAAAGATGTTTCAGAGATCAAATGAATATATAGAGAGAGGATGCTTGAAGAATCACCTCACTAAAATTCCAACTTCTTACTCTTTAAACTTGAACCCTTACTATCAGAAGTGTCTTACAGATAATTTAGACTTTAAGCACATCCCAGCAAGCAGGCTACTTTACTCTGAAAGGTGTATCATTTCAAGTATTAAAACTCTGCTATCCAGACAAAATCAGCTAAACCAGCCAAGAACCATGTTCCACTTTTAAAGCTTTTTAATTCCAGAATACACTGAGGGGCTTCAGAGCTGTAGGAAAACAGAATACACACAAAAAGATTTTCAAAAGCTACTCTGCCTCTCTTTCATAATAAAGACAATCCCACACAGAACTTTAGAGAATGCAGGGGACAGAGAAGAGAAGAAAAATAACTTTTGTAAAGTCTCAGTATGAGTGGAAAAAAATTATATTCTGAGAATCAAAATCACTTAATATGTTACTAGGCTAAGCAATATTAAACCCTTTATCTTCAACAACTTTTTGTGCGCTTGCATACGAACTTAAAGTTTACAAATAGGACTAGAGAGTAAAGTTCATAACATTTGCAGTTCAAAGTAATAATAGCACCACTTACCTAAAGATTGGTCTTTGGAGATGCTTTTTCTTGATTGTAACACAATCATCCATTTAAAGTGGGGAAAAAGACTTCTTCCAGCAAATAACTCCTAAAAAACCCAGGGAGTAATCGGGAAACTTGTTCTTAGCTACTGTGCTGCAGAGAGCACACAGAATGGTATTTTGGTGCTGGGGGAAGCCTCCCTCCCTCTTTCTGACAGTGGAGCAGAAAAGGGCCATAGAGGCCACATAAGCCAGGCACAGCCGTGCGCTACCAAACTGGGCAGGCAGAGCAAAACTGGAGTGAAGTTGATCGAAGCACAGAATTGCACTGGATTCCTTTCAACTGTGCAAGAAAAGGGGGGAGCTCTGCCAAGTGCTACCCAGGTAAAAATCTGTTAGATTGTCCCAGCCATGAGAGCACTTCTTACACATACTGGTCAAAGTCTTAAATGCAGAGTCACTCTCTCTCTCTCTCTCTCTAAAACACACTGTTCCGAGGCTCAACTTTTTTTTCTTCAAAATAAAAGTTGTGCAGCTGTTTCAGCATTCCCATGCGAGTACCTTCAGAAAATTTGTTCTGGTGAAAAAAAGCCGTATACAAATTAATGAAGACAGATGGATCTGGTCTGTAAGTCTGGCTCTACTTCAAGAGATTGTAATTATTTTACAATCTGGCTTTTATTCACTCTGGATGATGTGTGGATATAACTATGCAAATTAAAGCACTGCTCATAATTTTTAGCATACATAACCTAATGACCTAGAATTGGCTGAAGCAGAATATGGTGTTTGCAGCTGGTAGGACCACAACAACATGAAACAAACCGATACTACATCAGTGAGGAAAACAAAAATGACCAAGTTTAGACAGTGTCAGTAACAAACTGTTATTGTTTGCAAGATAAGATTTCAACATAGATCCAAACTGAAAATCTTGCTCTGACATCACGCTGACATAAATCAGGAAGAATTCAACCGCAGCGAACACAGGCTGTAAACAAAGCCATAAAGCAGAAGCAGCTGACCGTGGTTCTCAGTGAACTGAAGTCATGAGGGCTTCAGGTGAGACACAATTTCCCCCACACGTCAGAGGGCTCATAACAAACCTGTGCTGGCACAGGTCTTGATGGGAAACATGGAACCCAGCCAGCGGAGCAGCAAACCAGCACCAAGGCAGCGCCATGTGTGCAGCTGCACACCCTGGAACCGTGTGCCCCCTTCCTGCTGAGGGAGGGAAGGTCCTGCCACAGGTTCTTCCCTGCATCCCACCCCTGGAGCTCACTTGCAGCTTGATTCTTGCCAAGTGCTCAGTGTGTACAAGGTGGAGCTCCTGACATGGGACAAGTAGGATCAGGATGGTTGGGATAGTTCTGCAATTGCATTGGTGGTTGGGGAGAGAGAAGAGGGGCAGATA